GATAGCTGTATAGCTAGTGAAAACACTCACCCATGAGTGAGTGAGTGGGTAAGGTTTTACGCCGCTTTTAGCAATATTCCAGCAATATCACGGAGGGGGACACAAGAAATGGGCTTCACACATTGTACCCATGTGGGGAATCGAACCCGTGTCTTTGGTGTGACGAGCAGACACTTTAAGCATTAGCCTACCACGCACGCACGCACGCACTCACTGACTCTCGCACTCACTCACTCACTCACTCACTCACTCACTCACTCACTCACTCACTCACTCACTCACTCACTCACTCACTCACTCACACTCACACACACTCACACTTTTGAAGCTCAGTAACAGTGAGGTAACAGTGAGGTACGGTACCATGTTACCATGATGGTATTTTTATACAGATACTGGAGTGAGGGCTTGGTGTGGTCACTTCCTCCCCTCTAGCTACAGACAAGGCAGTATTTGTGTTTACAACCTAACCAAATACAACATGTCTTCCAGACTACACAGACAAGAAATGTCAGAGGGCAAGGTGGCAACATTTGTGTTGCTTTGTAAACTGGAGGTTCTATTGGGCTCTTGGTAGACAACATGATCCTTGACCTTGGGCAGTCAGTCTGAGTATCTCCCAAGATGTACATTATTAGATAGAGTTATAACTCCATTGTGTTACAAAGAATGTAAGACTCTTCTCATATTGGGATTATTACAAATGTCTGGAGGTAAAGAGCAAAACCCTGACATATAATGTGGAATATTAAGATCAGATTATTCTTAAAGGTCAGATGTGGTGTTATTCAGTATTGTACATTTGTTCCTGCACAACATACGACCGTAGAAATGGCGTTGAGCTTGTGATGTGGTTTCAGTTCTATGTGCTGATGTCTTCTAAGAATGGATTCAGATTTAGTTTCATCTCATCTCATCAAATTTTTGTGATATCCTTTTTAGTTATTCGATAATCTTTTGTTATATGGCCATGCAGAATCTGAAGACAAATATATCGTATATCATGTATAGATTCACTCTTTTCATAGACAGAGTTGTGTTATGCCTTTGATATACGATACCATCAACAATGTTTGTTGAGGTTTTCTTCTTAAACATCCTTGTATTATCCTTTACAAGGTGCTGTGGGCTAGCCTAGTGGTTAAAGCATTGACTTATCATGCCGAACACCCAAATCGATTCCCCACATGGGTACAATGTGTGAAGCCCATTTCTGGTGTCCCCAGTCATGATATTGCTGGAATATTGCTAAAAGTGGTGTAAAAACTCACTCACTCACTCACTCACTCACTCACTCACTCACTCCTCCGCCCGGAGATCGGAAGGTCGCGGGTTCGATCCCCGCCCGCGTCATACCAAAAGACGTTAAAATATGGTACTTGTTGGTCCCTGCCTGGTGTTCGGCATTAATGGGTACAACAAGGACTGGTCGTCTTGGAGTCAGTATAATGTGTCTGAGTAGGGTATTCATGCTTCACTGCGGCATGGTATCTCAGTGGGCTAGCACTATAAAACCAGCTTCAGTCTGGGCTAGTACAAGCAGCCGCATACACATACACATACACACGCATGCACGTCGTCATATGAGTGAAATATTCTCAAGTACGACGTTAAACCCAATTTCACCTCACCTCACTCACTCACTCACTCACTCACTCACTCACTCACTCACTCACCACCCACCTGCACTAGCCCCACTCACTCACTCACTCACTCACTCACTCACTCACTCACTCACTCACTCACTCACTCACTCACTCACTCACCCACCCACCTGCACTAGCCCCATGCTTTCTGGTTTCACCAATGTGGTTAATGTATTAGGCCTGCAACACTTTTGACTTTTCTAACCCATCAAACTCATATAAATCAAATAGTGTTCAACTCACCATAAATCTGAACTCAGTCACCTCTTGGAAAGACATGTTCGTTTAGTGTCCCCTCTTTGTAACGTGATCTTATTGGCAAAATACTTATAAATTATTTACCGAAGTGATGAAAAAATGATGAAAGTCGCCTTTTTAATTATTTGTTGCTTTTTGTGTCTATTCTGTGTTATATTTTATTCCCTTTTTTACTTTTTCAATAGCACCTGAATGGTATTATGGTATGGGGATCTTAATGGAGGTAATGAATAGCAAAAATTCTTGTCCTGGTGAGGAATTCTTGAGCCAATGTTTGGTCACGGAACTGAGGGGAAATTGTGCATTTTGGCATAATCCATTTTCTGCTTTACTGCTAACAGTAACAGAGGAGGTTGGGGCTGACTTGAGTTTTACAGACCTTCATCGTCAATTTACAAAAACATCTTTCTGTTATCGGCTGATCATGGCTGCCACTCACAGCTCGTGAAGAGAAATAACAAGTTGGCTGATGATGGCGATCTTCTCAAATTATGGGATGTAAGAGGTATAGAAGGTCGACTGAAAAAGGAAAAGAGAACTGTTTTTATTGTTCTGTCGTTCTGTTTGCTTTTTAATGGCAGTTGATTTGTTGGTGGTTGGAGAGGTTCTCAGAAGTAGGCAGAACCCTACGCATTTGTGTTTGTTGCTGGCAAAAGTTTATGGTTTACAATCTTGGTGTTATTTCATTTTTACATGCACCAAGTAATTGGAAGACATTTAGAGCTGTTAAATTGGGCACAATAATGTTATTGTTAACTTATTAGGTGACAGTAACAAGCTGTTGATGATTTATATCAGGATAAAGCACTCCCACTTTAACGTATGATTTGCTTGGAATGGGGATTATTTTCCTTTTCTATAGATCCAACAAACACGACAAAAAAGTATTTCAGAAAAATAATTCTTGGAAATGAATATTTTCATTGGGTATGTAATGTTTTAGAACTTTAATTCTTCTGTCAAACTGTCACTAATGATGCTGCAATTTGCTGTACAGAGTTGCATCCCTTGGGTTCACCAGAAATCTATGATTTCTTGTTTGCACTCAGGTAATGATTGTACAAAGACAGAGCCAAGTAAATTGTCTGGTTTCTACAATCTGAACCATTTCTACAGAAGCTTGGCAAACACCTGACAGCAAGTCCTTGTCTGTTTGCTCTCTTAACTCCAACCACAGAAAATTTGTCATGCACTGGCATGGAGCCATGAAAAGGATGTACATCTTTTTCACCCTCGCTATCGAGATAACTTATAATTGGTCCTTCATTATTGCTGACACTTCTTTTACCTATTGATAAATTTTGAATTGATTAATCTTTGGACAGCTTTTTCAAACATTCACAACAGTTATTCAATCCCTATTTAAACAGTATCTACTAACCACCTGATGATTAAATTGCTACAATGTGCGAAGCCATTTTTGAGTCACCCGCTGTAGTATTGGTGGTATGTTGCTGAAAGCAGTGTGATTCCAGATTACTCAGTGACTCGCTTATTCCTTGTTGTAAACAAGTTCAGAATGTTGTGACATGAGCGATATAGGAAGTAACATATTTCCTATCACAAACAGTAGCAACTTACATTGTGATCTGAACACCAGCAGGCTGTTTTGAATTATTCATTAACTGCAGATCTGTTTCCGAAAATAATCACATTACGTGAGCTTGTATAATAAGGCTAAAGATACTACCAATAACATAATGCAAGAATGGTGGAAATCATCCAAAAATCAAACAGAAACATGTTTTTTATGCAAGTTGTGATTTTTTGCACTCAAGAGAAAATATGGTTGACGTTGAGCTGAAGGTTTATCACAACAAACATACGTGGACGTACTGAGAGGCCATTCGACGATCATCATACACTGCATTTAACATGTATATTCAGCTGCTCCTGGAAATGGTACAACATGCATCGAGCTCTCCGCATGTTCGTGATATCATGTGATTTCCGCCTTGTATTTCTGATGATAACAGCAAGACACGGTTGTTTTGTTGTCAAAATAGATGGCAATGGGTGTACATGGAATATCGTATTGTTACAAATGTGGAACATTTGGATGTTTATGTAACACTAGTTGATGTTTTTACAGAGAATTGAGAAATATTTTGGTTAAGCATTTTTTTGGTCAATTTGTTTTCTGTCTAAGACTTTTGCATGGAAAGATATGTTGAAATGATTTTGCCATGGTTACGTGGTAATGTCATTTACAAGAACTTGTGATTGTAACATATTTTTTCTAACCTGAACTTTTATCATATTCAGATATTGTCTGATTTTTTCATTGGCTGTCTCTCACTCAGAATCCTTCTGCAATGAAAACATTGCGTTCCAGCAAACTATCTGTCGCATTTAGCTCAGCCATAAATCATTGCACAGAATAACAAAACGTTCTGGGAATGAATAATCATTTCAGGATCTGTGAAGTAAAAACAAGAGCAGAGAAACTAATTCACAAGTAAATATGTGAATGTAGAAGGAGATATTGTATGGATATTGCGTCATGGGATCCCTCATATGTTACACATGTAAGGAGTTTGGAGGGTTTCCTGTTATGAGTTCTGTCAGAGTGCCCTCCCCTTAACGACAGTTTAACGTGGAAATCAATAACCAACATAATTTCACCCCTGGCTGAATATAAAAATGTGAATTTGTGAAAAAAGGTGGAATGAAGAAGAGAAGACTGTTTTCTCGAAGGGAAATGTGTTGTCTGTCATTAGTTTGGGAGTTTTTAGCCCAATGTCCAGGAATTGTGAATTGCGCTAATTTTGTCTGATTTCCCAGAGCAGTTATTCAAGCATAATAATCAATGTGAAATGTCGTCTTGTCAACACAAAGTGAAATTAATTGCCGTTGGAAGACATTTACAAGAAAATTACTGAAGTTTTTGATTGATTGAAAAACTTCCTTGTGACGTTAGGGGAAAGATTTGAAGCATCAATATCATTTGTAATTCTCATCACTCCATTTATCTAGACTTGTCATTGCAGTTAAACGTGTTATTGATGTTACATGATATATCTTTCAAATAATCTTTAAGGTTTGAAATGGTTGATTATTCACATGAAACTAATGATTTTATTCTTTTTTCTTCAGGAATCGTATATATGGGCTTAGTCTAACCAATGTTACAGACAGAGCAAGCGTAAGTATATGTTATGAAGTAATTTTCACTGAGTTAAGCTGGCACACAAAGTCAGCACTGAATGAGACAGAGTTACATCCCCTGGCCATGCCTGGATTCGCATGTCATTGGTTTACATACCACATTTGGCTGATGGTGTTCTGTTGTGCTTACAGATTTCGACAAAGTGACAAATAATTACAAGTTGCATCACTCTGTACTTTCTTATGTTTATTATGGTGTCCAAAACAGCATTTAACCCAAACTACTCACTCTTGAAATGATTAAGTGTCTACTAGAGAAAAACTGCTATTACTTGAGAACTTTTCATAAAGTAGTCACTTTTAAAAGAAGGACGTGGTAGCTCAGTGGTTACTGTGGTCACCTGGTGTACTGGCCTGGGTTCTATTCCCAAAGAGGACGGTGGGGTAGCCTAGTGGTTAAAGCATTCGCTCGTCATGCCGAAGACCGGGTTCGATTCCCCACATGAGTACAATGTGTGAATTCCCATTTCTGTGTCACCTGTTGTGATATTGTTGGAATATTGCTAAGAGCAGCATATAACTCACTCACTCTATTCCCAAAGTGGTTTCAAGAGCAGAAAAGGATCATAAGATCCAATTACAATGAGATCACAACGTGTGACCTGCCTCATTGTGTGTCACTGTATCTCAACAGCATCCTTGACGCTGATAATTTGACATGACCGTGACAGTCAATTATTTACAACATAAAACACAAAGATGACTAATTGTGTTACTATTTGACTTTTCCTGTAGGTACGGAAGAAGGACCTGTCTCCCAACCGTGCTGATGTTGGCAGATGTAAGATACAGGGCAAGAAGGAGGTAGGTTGTTTTATGGCTATTCTCTCCATCCACTTATAATAAAAATACAACGGATCACATTTCTAAACATTCCTCTCAACTGAAACGACTCTGGTATGTTTGAATGTAGCCCAGCAGATGAAGTGTTAGCTCATCACACTGAAGACGAGGTTCCATCCCTACATGGGTACAACATATGAACACATTCCTTACCCTCTCGGGGGCGGTGGAGTAGCCTAGTGGTTTAAGCGTCCGGTCGTCACGCTGAAGACCCGGGTTCAATTCCCCACATGGGTACAATGTGTGAAGCCCATTTCTGGTGTCCCCTGCCGTGATATTGCTGGAATATTGCTGAAAGCGGCTTAAAACTAAACTCACTCACCTTTCTCTCTCACTTTGATAATAGTGGAATGTTCCCAAATAAACTCACTGAGGTATATTTGCTCCAGTTTTTATCTTAAGAAAACCAATGATCAGTGTTTTCAGTATGTTCAGTCAGTTGACAACACCTGACAACACCTGACAACAATGTCCGAGCAGGGACACATAGAGAACATACTTCTTTCTTCTCAACACAGTCACATCTTTTCATATTCTGTTGTTTCTCTGCAGCTCCTGACTGCCAGAACCACATTCGCTTCATCGCCCGCAACACCAGCAGCTCCAACACGCTGTACGTGTGCGGCACCGGTTCCTACAACCCCACCAGCTACCAACTCAGCGTAAGTGTCCTCACCTCACAGCAAGGATGTCACCTCCATTAGACTCATTATGGGTTAGAAATTGTCTTTTGGAAAAAATGCATTTAAGAACTAGGGAGAGGGATGTACTTCTTGAGAATTTATTTACAAAAGTGAAGAACTTTTGAAAGTAGTTACATTTAGATTTTTTCATTCCTGCGCCATTATTGATTCTGGAGAAAATGTATACAGACCTCTTTTTCATACTACGATCATGCTGTGACTTCAGAATAAGGAAAAAGGAATGAGAATAATATTGGTCATGAGTTGATGTTATGTGTACTCTGCGTAATTAGTTTCATGGAAGTTAATGTGCTGGGGTTTTTTTAACTCCAACAGGTCCCAGTCAATGACTTCCTGGTTTTGTCGCATACGTCAGGAATAGGGATGTGTCCATACGACCCTTTTGATAATGCAACAGCTTTGTTTGTTGGTAAGTACAACTTGATTCTTTTATTAACAATAGTATATATCTGAAGGGGAATTTGATAATCAACAATGAATAGCTTGCATGAAATTGATAGAGTATGTAGCTGCTGAAGACAGGGAAACTTGAACAAATCACCAGGGGAGAAAACTCACAGTAGGGCCTGGCTGACATAGTATACGATTTTACCCTAACAGTGCTCTGGTTTAACTCTGGTTTAACTCTGGTTTATCTTATCAGATTCCTGATTGGAGTCAGTGTTTAAAACTCCCAAAATTCCAAGCCAGACAGCCGGACAGGCAACTTTAAAACAGTACAAGTCAGGATACAAACTTGCCTGTCTGGTTTTCAACAATAAAAATACAAAATATAATCAAGTTTCTGAATACTTTCTGCATGTATTGTAACGTTACAGCTAAGCTACATGGCCTGGTTTAGAAACTAGAAATGTTTTACATTTTCTGCCTCACAATCAAGATCAGAGAAATATCTAACAGACCACCAGACAGGCTACTTTTGAAATTTGACCGTCCGAGATGAAAATAGACTGTTCTGAACGTCGGGCAGGCGAGAATTTTAAACGCTGTTGGAGTGCATGCCACCAGTTCCTGAGTATGGTTAGAACAAAACATGAAGTGGTAGACCTGATTGATGATGAGATTTGATTAGTTATCACCTCAATACATGTACAGTTGTAATACTGTTGGCATAAAACAAGATGCATACCCACCTACATGGCGCACGTGCTTGGTCAGGCAGGCTGTGATGTATAAACCGGTAGTAGTGACCAGCTTACTTCCTGTTCAAGGTGTATCTGTTGTTTATGAATGCTGTTGTTTCAACAAAGCTGACTTTGTTCTGCCTTTGTGTGGTTGCAGAGGAATCCAACCCAGGTGACATTCCAGGCCAGTACTCGGGGACAGTCACAGACTTCATCAAAGCTGACCCTATACTGTTCCGGCCTGACCTCTACTACAGGAATGGAACCATGGCCGTGGGCTATGTCAGGACACAGAGGAATGACCCTAAGTGGCTCAATGGTAAAATACATGACTGTGTGCCTGTTGGGACTGTGTATTAGCCAAATATAGTTTGTGATATGTGTGGATATATGCATTTGATGTAATGGGAGCTACAGTATTTGGAAGGGATTGATATTGATAGTACAAACAGATCTTATTTTCTGCATACTAAAGTAAATATTACTCACGGTATCCCTATTTTGTAGTCATGGATACAGGGGAATTAACAATGTTAGAATTATCTGAAACGAGCTGTGACTTGTGATGTCTATCACCAACAAGTCTGACATGATTGTTTCAGAGCCCCAGTTTGTCGGGTCCTTTGACGTGGGCAACCAAGTCTACTTCTTCTTCCGTGAGGTTGCGCTGGAGTACACCAACTGTGGCAAGAAGATCTACTCCAGGGTGGCCAAAGTCTGCAAGGTAAGCCCTGCCTACTGCAGAATACTTTCCTGAACACTGCCTTTGTTTAATCTCAACTGTTTGTGATGTCATTTTTCCTGAGTGAGGTCAAGTCAGTTGTTAATGGTTATATTTATGCCTGGGTGTGCAGTAACAGCTAGATGGATGTTTCTATTGTTGCCCTGTGTTGCATCATGGTTAAGCTCATCACATTTACATCCCAGCACTTGAACCAACTACCTGTGAAGATCCGTATTAGAATTGGTGTTCAGCAACCCATGCTTGTTGTAAGAGGTGACTAATGGGATCGGGTGGTCGCTGATATAGTTGACACATGTCATCGTATCCCAATTGCATAGATTGATGCTCATGATGTTGATCACTGTATTGTCTGGTCCAGACTTGATTATTTACAGGCCGTTGCCATGTAGCTGGAATATTGCCGAGTGTGGCATTAAACAACTAACAAAGAATTCTTCACATAGGTACAATTATATAGTATACAACACATTCACCCACAATTCACCCACGAATTCACCCACCAACTTAAGGTTAAGTTAAGGATGCTAATTATGTGTGTTTGTGTATAGAATGACAAGGGAGGGAAGGCTGTGCTGAACCACGTGTGGACCTCCTACCTGAAGGCTCGACTCAACTGCTCCATCCCAGGAGAATACCCATACTACTTTGATGAAATACGTGAGTAACAGCCACAATCATACTTTATTGTTGTCAGTGGGAAAAAGTAATTCTTCATATAATAAGACAAGATGTATCATTTGTTTTGGTGATATTTTATGAAATATGTGAATCATATTCTTTTTGTATTCTACAGAGGATGTGTATTCTGTTGATGGGCAGACATTTTATGGACTCTTCACAACAAATGTGTAAGTTGAATTCCAGTACGAATCTTAAATATTCACCATCGTTCACAAAAGTTTCTCTCAAATGCTGCAGTCTAAAAAATGTGTCAAACTATATCCCATAGTATTGTCTTTTTTTTGTGAGCAATTTCATTGTAGTATATTTGATAAAATTTGCTTTTCCAGAAATGGCTTGACGGCATCTGCCATCTGTGCATTTACTGTGCACCAAATTGAACAAGCTTTCAACGGCCCATTTAAGGACCAGACCAACAGCAAGTCTAACTGGCTTCCTGTACCCGAGGTGGATGTGCCAGATCCCAGGCCAGGAAATGTAAGTACAGTGTTCAGGGTAGAAATTGTAGGACAGTAATAGTTTGTCTGCTGGAACTCAGTCAGTATTCAGCAGGTTTAACATGATTGACATGAATCAGTCTGCTGGTGATTCAGCTCGACAACAGTTAGTTTTTGTAAAGATGATTAAAACTTGTTTTGAGTACATCATAGGTAAAATACATGCTAAGACTCTGATAAAGTGTTAATTAACCAACCCATATTTTTTAAATGTTATCAAAACAAGATGTAACAGATTCACTTTTGGTGCATATAACATATCACAAAACATAAAGCCTTTCTCCCATGTGCAGTGTTCCGTGGACGACACCCGCAGCCTCCCTGACACTGTCATCAACTTCATCAAGTCCCATCCCCTGATGGACCACGCTGTAGCACACCAATATGGCAGCCCCATCTTCTACAAGGGCAACTGTCTGATGCAGAGACTAGCTGTGGCTTCCAATGTGTCCGGCCACGGGGAGCTGGTCTTCTATACTGCCAGTAGTAAGTCGACACTCACACCATCTGTTGTCTGCCATTACACAATGTTGTAAAAGGAATTATGCCAGTAAAAGGAAATATGATATTAGTAAATATAGTGGACAAATAGGCTAGCAATCATGAATTTTTATGTAACTGTGTGCTCAGTCTTCAGTACAGACTAATTTCTCCTAAAATATTCATGATCTCGAACATTTTTCGTTTTTACGCTTTTAACTGTGAGTGAACGGCTGCTTCAAATCTTGATTATTCAGCCATAAATTGATCATAAGATTTTAAGTTATTTTTCTTGAGTATGTTCATATATGAGGCCCAATCAGATCCAGAAATGCTTTAATTATATGTACACAGATGTCTTGAACATTGTTATCAGAATAGAATATGTAAGATAAAATGCTTCCTTTACCATGTAGAAAATAAGTATTTGTGCCATGTTTTGTCAGTCGTTCCTTTCAGTGTCTTTCTGGCTGTTTCAGACACTGGCCTGGTGTACAAGATATTTGCCTGGCCATCTGAGTCAACTCACAAAGCTCCTCACAGCATCCTGTCTACTATATTCAAACCATTCGACACAGTTAGGCCTGTGTGGAGTATGAAGCTTCATGTAAGTAGAGTACAACAAAAATGTGTTTTTGCTTATTGCCGTCTGCATTATTCCCAGAGTACATATCATATCAAGGATGCACATCAGTGTTTGTAAAGGGATGTGTATGTCATGCTTCAGATTCAACAGAGTCACAGTATGTCATTTAGAAAAGAAATTAAAGATTACATGAAAGTTTTTATTCGCCCTAACTGCTCATGATAAACAAATGATACCTGATGATCTTCCCCACTCCTCAACCCCACTCCTCAACCCCACTCCTCATCCCCACTCCTCATCCCCCTCCTCAACCCCACTCCTCATCCCCACTCCTCAACCCCACTCCCATCCCCTACTCCTCATCCCCACTCCAACCCCATCCCCCCCTCCTCATCCCTCACTCCTCATCCCCTCCTCAACCCCACTCAACCCCACTCCTCATCCCCACTCCTCATCCCCCTCCCCCCTCCTCATCCCACTCCTCATCCCCACCCCACCCTCATCCCCACTCCTCATCCCTCCCTCATCCCCCTCATCCCCCACCCTCATCCCCACCTCAACCCCACTCCTCATCCCCAGTCCTCATCCCCACTCCTCAACCCCACTCATCCCTCCCTCATCCCCACCCTCATCCCCACTCCTCAACCCCACTCCTCAACCCCATCCCCCTCCTCATCCCACTCCTCAACCCCACCTCAACCCCACCTCATCCCCACTCTCATCCCCACTCAACCCCACTCCTCATCCCCACCCTCATCCCCACTCCTCAACCCCACTCCTCAACCCCCTCCTCATCCCCACCTCAACCCCACTCCTCATCCTCATCCCCACTCCTCATCCCCACTCCTCATCCCCACTCCTCAACCCCACTCCTCATCCCTACTCCTCATCCTCCCATGTCAAGATTTCCAATGGACAGTTTGTAAGAGTTGCACAATAACCAATCCTTCTCCACACAGGGCAAGTATGTGTATCTGGGCACAGATATCTCTGTGACGCAGCTGAAGATCGAGATCTGCTCCAAGTACCTGAAGGTGGACCAGTGCCTGTACGACCCATACTGTGGCTGGGACCGGGATGCAGGAACATGCCGCAGCATCAACACCTACAGAAAGTCAGTACCTCACCCCACATCTAGAATAATTTATGTTGCCCCACTGTTACATCCACAATTACCTCCAGCTGGAGACTCACAGATGCTGAAGGTGGCCAAGTGGGCTAGGGTATCACTAATCTCTCTGTAACGTTGCATCTCTTATTTGGTTCAAATCCCAGATTTCCCACAATTATGTTTCCTAGATCTGAAAGGATCTTACACATGCTGAGTTGATCTTGGATTTTATGGGATGATAAAGAGATGACAAAAGGGTCTGTGGACCCCACTTCTGGATTCCCCTAGACCTGTGCTTGTGGGTCTATCTAGCTGGTTCTGTACACCATGTAAACCACATATATCACTTAACATATGTCTTCCATATTAAGATCTTGTGTTGTGACATGGCAGACATACTGTCATAAGCAGCAAGATATTCACCTTATTGATAACATATAGTTTCATGTGTGTTTCTTGTTTACAGATTGGTCACATACAGACATATTGATCGTACCATGGCCTGGGAGGCTGCCATTGAAGATGCACTCGGACAACCATTGTATAGTAAGTTGTGTTGTTGTTGTTGTTGTTGTTGTTGTTGTCTCATGATTCATATGAGGCATCATGTACATGATAGGACGATGTACAGGTAGACAGTATGATAGGACGATGTACAGGTAGAAAGTATGATAGGACGATGTATGGGTAGATAGTAGGATAGGACGATGTACGGGTAGAAAGTAGGATAGGACGATGTATGGGTAGAAAGTAGGATAGGACGATGTACGGGTAGAAAGTAGGATAGGACGATGTACAGGTAGAAAGTAGGATAGGACGATGTACGGGTAGAAAGTAGGATAGGACGATGTACGGGTAGAAAGTAGGATAGGACGATGTACGGGTAGAAAGCAGGATAGGACGATGTACGGGTAGAAAGCACGATAGGACGATGTACGGGTAGAAAGCACGATAGGACGATGTACGGGTAGAAAGCACGATAGGACTATGTACGGGTAGAAAGCACGATAGGACGATGTATGGGTAGAAAGTACGATAGGACGATGTACGGGTAGAAAGTACGATATGGACAATGTACAGGTACATGATAATTACAGGAAGTGAAGAGAAAAGGTCTTTTGTTCTGGAGGAATAGGATATTTGGTTTGGTTTGGCTGGGAGGATGAAAAGCTAATACTTAAAAATATTTGAATATTTTGAATGTTGCATTAATTTTTTTGACAGTGACACTTTATATTATTTAAGAATAAATATTTCTATGACACTTTATTTAAGGATAAAAATTTCTTAAAATATTTATGATTGAACTTTTTCATTTCAGATTCTAAAAGTATATGGAAGGCTTCAGGCAGTTCGTTAACATTACGAGTGGAGTATAAATTAAATATTCAAGGTGTAGTCACATGGACAAAGAATGGATCATATGTACAAAGCGATCGCCATATTCTAGCCCATGATAATTCCTTAATCATCCCTGACCTAACAGCAGCAGACCAGGGTGTTTACAGGGCAGCAGACGCAAAGAATAGACTTGTAGCTGAATACGCAGTGTCGGTAGATACCAGTAAGTAACATCAACCCTTTCACCTCATCATTGATTTGTTTGTTGTTTATAGCCTTAACTCCCCAATATTTAAACAATATGGTGGTGGTCTGTAAATAATCCAGTCTGGACAGACAATCCAGTGATCAACAGCATGAGCATCGATCTACCCAATTGGGATGCAATGACATGTGTCTGAACATAAATAAAACTGTATTAATATTCTCACTCACAGTCAAGGATATCCACTGCTAGGGACAGGTGTGTGTTGGTGACAAAATTCATCAAAATTGTGTCTCACATCTGTGGTGGATTCCATCAGTCATCAATTCAGAATCACATTTCTGCATCCATAATCATGGATGGTTTTCCTCACATTATGTAAACATGCCATGATATGACTGAGTCATTGTTTTAATTGGGTTATAACTCGCTCGTCCTGACTGTGTGGTTTTAGGGGACTGGTGATTGTTTCCTTTTCCTTTTGGGTGACCATGTTTTTAGTGCTGATGAACAATATGTAAGAACAGAGATAAATCATGTCAGGGAATTGTGTAGCAGAGAAAGCATGTGTATTGTTCTACATGAATGGTGCCAAGATGCAAGTTAGGACAGATTGGGGATTCACTGGCCACAATGGTTGCTCACTGTATGAACACTGGATGCTGAAAAACTGATAAATCCCTAATCAGTAACTGGTACTTTACTTACAGACAATGGTATGATATTGCTGATACTATTAACATATTGGTAACCATGGTAACAATAACATATGAAACACTAACATCTTGTTTCATTTTTCAGCTAAAGAAGAAATAGAACAAAGATGGATAAGAAAGTTCGACGAATGGTGTCATGAATTTGAAAAATATCAGAATGATATCAGGATATGGGTATGTATTGTCAACAACAAAAATTAAATAATAACAAAGACACTTTTTAATTATCATCAAATCATCATGTGTAATTCTGAAATTCTGTGGGAGAACATGCATGCTTGAAATCTATGAAATGAATCCATTTCTTATATTTTCTAAAACTTCTAACAATATGATTTTTTCTTTACAGGAAAATAAGTGCAGTTCGTGTTGTCAAAGTCCTGGGAATGCAATATCTCAGTTTGGTGGCAAATAACAATAGCTGTGCGGTAACATCCTGACAATTGAATAACTCTGTTTGTTCACACAGTGAACATACTGCCTTAGTGCTTGATGCGCTGTCCTGTGATATGAAACGTGTTCGGGCATTCCCCACCCAGCAGTGTGTAGCAGAACACAGAATACCATCGACACACTCACCATGTGGTTTTCTGGGAAATGGAAGAGAATATGCACAAATGGCAATTCATATGACAGAGAATTATGTGCTTGTGTAAACAATGGACACAGGTTGGATTTGTTTTTTAAAAATATTTTTAGTTACGCAGTACTCGGAATACAAGAATGAGTGTATGGTGTTTTGTTTAATTTGATTTAGAGGACGTAATGATGGACCTGATGGGATTGTGTTTCTGTTCGTTGTTTGGTTTCAAATTCCAAGTTACAGTGATGCAGGATTGTGGATGGAACGATTACAGGGTTTTAGAACAAACTGTTTATAGTGTTTTCGTTCTAAACCCTGAGAAATGAAGTCAAGAAAAAGAATGTTGGAAGTCCTCATGAGGCTTAATCACGAATTGATGGTGAACTGGCAGCATGGAATTGAAATGATTATATTAACTGGCAGAAAATTGGACAGGTTTATTTGGAGTGAAAATACATTTGTCATCTACAAGCAATAACTCTCCTAGTGTTGAAGAATGGTTTAACTTTTCTACAAAGATCTGAATTTGAAGTATTTTTTTATTTGCTGATTTAATCACATCAGGAAAGAACTGTGCATATTTCTAGAAGGTTTCACAAAGGGCAAGATAAATGGTGACACAATACATCGCTGGAACGAACTGCCATGTCAGCAGTTTTTGCACGGACATTGTTTTCCGATTATTCTTGGTGCATTGATGTAAAATGAACATGCTTTGTGATTGACACATTGTCAGTTGTGTTTCACAGAGCAACACTGCATACTAAACTGGTTCTTTCACATCTGCTTCAAGACTTATTAATCAAATAGTAGATCCAACATCAAAACCCAGTTTGCAAATATGCACCAACAGTGCTATGAGTACTGTTGCCAGAGGAACACTCCATGAGAAACAGATGTATTTTGTGTCCACACTTCGTCACACGTCCTGGACACAGGGTGTCCTGATAAGGTTCACAATGCATAGAAATACGAAGAGGAATAGTCGGACCTTCTGAGATGAAAGAACAGTGGATTCTCTGTACAGTCTTGATGAATTGCCTCCAACAGCATTTTGCAATGCATCATGTGTAATATATTTGTGCACAGACCTCAAAATGAGAGGTTTGTGAACTTGCAGTTACCATAATATGTAAACATTATGACCGAACTTTCTCCATCGGTTCTGTACAGATTCCTAGATTTTGTTCATGAAATGCATTTCTATGGCAGTTACATCACATAAAAGGAACATGTCGGCCCTGCCTGTCATTGAGGTGTTTATAGTGATTAATTTATTGATGGACTACAAGCAATTGATGGAGAGAGTGTATTCCTTGTGGTAAACAGCCGGATGCCTGTTACTGTTTGTTTATCTTGTGTACAGATATCATTGCGCACAACTCATGTACTTAGAGGAGTCAAATGCCCGTCCATCAAAACCTATGAAATTAGTCCTTAAACTAATATACCTTCTTAAAGAAAATATTAATGTACCTGTAAGTAAATGTTTACTTTATTTTGTAACAGTTTAGGTGGTATAGTATTGGTGTAAAAATTATGTTCTGGAGAGAGAAAAAGGAAATTTTACAGGTGCTTCATTTAGTTATGAAGACAATTTGGGTTATAAAATCATCCTTTTTTAAAGTTGATAACACATTTTAAGTAGTAAATAACCCCATCCATTATGTTATTTCAGTAACAGATATTGATAATCCTGTGTATTATTTTAGGATATTAATTTCATCAGGGAATGATGGGATGGTTATGTGATCATTGTATCGTATCTCGCCCTATGACTGTGCAGGAACAGGGCTAGCTCATACCTCAGTGTTCAAGTCATTGTCACTACTTGCCTTGGTGCAACTATAGACAGCTTGTACATGCACTGTCAATCATAGACGGTGCTTGATGCACAGGGAGCATGCTGCACATGTCACCTGTGCTCCTAACAATCTCATACATTATGACAGCAGATGAGTCTTTAGTTCAAGGGCAGAATAGTGGTTAGCATGTAGTGTACAGGGCGAATTTGTGGGAAGATGTTTCAATATATGTATCATGTTAGGTTCCACTTGAAAATAGTTGAATTATCTTGTGTTTACATCAGATTTCCATGTTCATGTCATCATGCATGTTGCTTAGCAATGTTGATACACATGTCATCAAGAATGCAATGTCCTTTGAAAGATAACATTACATCTCCTGTTTTCTCTCATACAATAATGGCATGATCCAATATATCCAAATGTGTAATTATCACAAACTCAATCATTTGTATTTATCACATCAAAATAATATAGTCTTGAAAGTACTGAAATCAAGATTGTGGCTGTAAACGAATATCTTCCAAAGGTGTACAATTTACATTGCAATGTGTAATACTGGCATAATATGAACTGTTATATGCCGTCCATGGACTGTCTGTGATGCAGTGCATGTACAAGCTGTCTCTATGTAAACATGTAGATAAACATTTTGTAATGTAATATATGAATGCTGATCTTTGTATAATGTTGACGAGTTTTGTGTCACACTCTTGATGTGTGTCTGAGTTTAATGTTTGAAATGACTGGGTGGATGTGCAAAGTTTATATAGAAATATATATATTTTAGTTTATACAAAAGAGCTGATACTGAAGTGGCAACACAAGGTATAATTATAAATAAATCAAAACTTTCAAAGAATTAAGATCCAATCATTGGACTTTGCAAACACTTTTTGGTCTCTTTTTGTCAATATCTAGTTTATGCCCAAAAAATATTTCCTACAATGAGTCGCTCGTTGGAATCAGCAATATGAATCATGGTCATATCACACTACTTCCTGGTTGTTCACTTGGGTTTATCAAGGTATTATCAAAATTTTGCTTTTTGTATGGAGAAACTTGCAAATGCTGTACACAAGTTACCAATCTGGTGTTTGATAAATTTGACAAATATTCAGGATTTTAGAAGAAATTTGTTCTTTTATTTCAGCATGTCTTTGTAAATTTGAAAATTACCAGGGACCACTGTGATCCACATCTTGAAAAGCTAATGGCTTCTTTTTAACTATTGAGATTACATATTAACTTACCCAAATAAGTGGAATCAAAAAAGAAATTTGAGTTCCTTTTCTTCTTGTAAAGTCTGTTGAATAATTTGTCCTCTTTTGAAAAATATTTTCCTGTGTCTTTAATATAAATGTGTTTTTTCTGAACTACTTGAAATTTATTACAATTTGGTAAAGAGAAATCTGTACACAGAAATATATTAAAATTAAGAGGTCTATGGGGAAAATATGATATTTCTCTGATGTATATTTTGTTCTTGTATTGAATGAAATGATCATTTGAGTTGCAAGTTTCCTGAAGACGGTAGTGTATTTTAGTTGATGTATTTAAGATGCAAGAATGCTGTAGATACATGTGTACAGTGAGTCACCCGAGACAGATGATGTTATTGTAAAGTCTGTACATTGGTTGGGCAAGTGTCGAAAGACTGCAAAAAATAAATTTACATGAATTTATTATGCATGACTTCACGTTTTCTCTTGAGCATCTTGATGGAGAACAGGATCATCACCTCTGAACCCAAATATTTTCACACACAAACACTTAAATATCTGGTTTATTGCATACAGAGTATAATTGACACTGTAACACAGAGACGCTACATAAACATATTATAATTAGAATGCTGATGCTGTTGGAGATAATACTTCTTCTAGTATTTATGACATGTTACAGGTCTTTGGTAGACATTCCCTTGGCAAGATAGTCATGAGAGTGATAACAGTGCTGGTGATTAAAACACTTAGTGCCATGTTCGTAGAATTCTGAAGATGTATATATAATATATTTTCACCCTGCATCCAATACACAGGCAGGTATTAGATTACAAGAGGACACAAAAGCATGGCTGTTGGCATCATCACAACTAATCCCAATTCAAGATCCCATGTTTAATACATATAACTGATATCTGTTTAAGGAAGCATCTCAAGGTTTGGTGTGTCAGTGGTTGATTTTGAATCTAAGGTTGAAACTGATCAATAACAGACTTGGGATTCTGAACATGCACAATGACACCGGTAAAAGTCTTCCAAATAAGTGGAGATACTACTCCACTGTTGATAAGGATAATCCTTCTATGATACCAGTAATATATTCACGTATGTCATGGGTATATGTAAATGTGTTGGACATACCTGAATATCCTTATCAATATTTGAGTCATGTAGACAAACAGGTTATTACCTTTTCATAGGACTTGTTACACTACCAGTCTTGGGTTGACAATTCCTTGTGAAGTAATGAAAATAACAAGTGATAATGCTGATAATGCAATTCAAGATGAAGTGCTTTCTTAACAAGTTCTTTGGTAGCTATGCATTAACAAACATTTATTTGGCATTATGGACTTGAGGTAAATGACACCTTCTGAAAATGATTCCTGAACCTTTAAATAATCTTGACTCCAACACCAGTACAAAATCACTGAGAAAACATTAGATCACAGAAAACATACGGTTGTTTAGACACACACACCTAAAACATGTAATTGCTGACATAATATCTTAAATTACAAGCAATGGCCAAAATACGAGGCATGAGTTTGTGAACAATGATGTCTATAAGACGACGTTCATGAAATGAGTATACCTGATCAATGAAATATGGCATGGAAACTAAAGATAAAATATATACATCTACCGACACAAAATAAAATATTAAATAATTGCAGTTTTCATCTCAAAATGGAGGATATGTTGTTGGTAAAATCAATATCAGTTTTGGCGAAAAAATATTTGAGCTTCAGTTTACCTAAACCATGCAAACTGCAGTAAAAAAACGTTCCGGGAAGAAATCAAACCACAACAATTTCTGTAAGTTGTGACCTTTCAAATAACTGCTTCTGAACAAATGAAGAGATACATGTATATATGACAATGTTGAGCACAAGGTTTGGTGTTTCATTACATAAGCATATACATTAATGTTATTAGACTCTCTGCTTGTAGAATGTTTTTCCTAGAGTCTTCAGCTCCTCTGTATACATTGCAAATTCCTTCTCCATAAGATTCTTCAGGGCTACTCGCCGAACCTGGAATGAAAAATAGGATTTTCATCAGTGTCTATTACCACGCTTTATGAACATAGTTTGGATTATTCCTATCAAATTATATTCCTTCTCCATACAGCTTTTTGAGAAAGGGGTGCACACTATTGAGTAAAGGAGGGGTGCACTTTTCACCCGAGGGCATTTAACAAACTTTCAGCACAAAAACAGGGGGTGCGCACCCTGGAATGAAAATAAGGATTTTTCTCCTGTTTATGTGTCTGATGATGTGATGTTAAACTTTATGTGTTTTCTATAACTTAATCAGTTTGGATTATTCTTCTTTAAATCACAGATCACTGTCAACATGGTGAACCTTAATCCCTACCATAAAGTAGTTGTACTAGTATACATACTAATAACAGAATATGAATGTAATAATTACCAAGGTGCCCCCTGATCAGCCTCACAACTAGTGTTTAGGTAATCTTTACAAACACCCAGTACTAAGCCTGAAACTTGACCAATGATGATCAATATTTCCTTGTGCATGTTTTAGACATTACACAGCAAAAACAGTATAGAAAGGGTATGTAGCTTCCTTAACCAGTTCTGTTCTCTATACCCCAATCTTTGACAATACATTTAACTTGTATATCAGATTTCCATCTGAAATTTTTCAAAATACAAATGCAAAATATAAAACCACATGAAATATACAATTGAAGTAACTATTCACGATCATTAGAAACTGATCAAATGAATAGTAGATTATTTATTAAATTTCTGGCCACTGCAACCTCAACAAAGCATTATCACAAGTATTACGGCATGCAGCAATTATTCTTTCCAACAAAACCAAACAACTTTATGCTCAATAAAATTTCTAAAGTATTCAGCAAAATATATTGATTTGATTGTTTACTTCAACCAACACAAGTTAACCAGCAAGACGGGTTCAAATCTGTAAACTGTAATACAAGAATAGGTGTCCTCATCAACATACATAAGACATCAAGCTTCATTCATCTTGCTTTAGACACTTAATCATGCATATCTAGGCTAAGAACAATATTGTTTTCTGTCACCATGGCAATCAGAAAAACACACCGACATGAAAGCATTTTATTTCTAAATTGCCTGACAGTAAATTGTTGTTACATTGTCAGCCTTAATCCTTTTCTGTTCGTGTGTGACTACCACAAGAGGTGTATCTACTCCCAGTCTCATGAAAACTGCATCATGTTCACATTTTGCATTTCCCAACTCTTAAACTTGATCCAATTACTGCATTATCAATAATGTACAAATACACTAGCGCAGTGTTGAGGGGTCTGAATGGTCAGACATTGTTGTGCTTTCTATGCAGAGCAACAACAATCTCCATGGTGACAAGTGCTTCCAATGGAGACAACAAGGTGTCCTTGACACTGGCTAGTCACACTGTAGCCGTTACACTGACACAGTACAACACTAGTTGGCTAGTTATACAAACAGGCCCAGTCATCATCAATCCCCATGGGCTTAAACCTGGTTTTGTAAGTATGTCTTGATAAAAACCCACTAAGGGTGGAGCTAGATGTCATGATTGGACACAGATTTCTGGAAGAGAAATGTTGGGTCTGTTGAAAGCATGTCACACGTTGAGCCCACGTAGAGAGTTAAATACATTTCCAATATAGAGATATTAAGAATGCTTCTCGGTCTGTATATAGATGTTCAGCGAAATATATATGATAAACAAATGAAATAAATATAATAATGAATAATCTACTCACTATATTAAAGTATCACTAGTCCAGTTTGCAAACCGTTACATTTGGAACATACATGATACTAACCTCTTGGCATCTGGCATTTGACAGTTGACACCCATAACTGGTCTACTAGTTTGTTTAGTTTGAATCTCACCAGAAGATCTGTTACAGTAGTTTTAGGTCTGTGCCTGGTCCTTGTCTATTGCACAAACCATCTGAGCCAACCACACACTCCAACAGTGGTCGCATACCGATCCGTCGAATTTCTGATTTCAAAGTAGTAAAATGCATTCGACAGATCGGCACTGTGATCTTAGCTATGAATTAGTTATCAAAACATTGGATCATACCAAAAAAAAGACACAAGGGGTGTTGGATGGTTTGACTCTTCATATTTTTGTACTTTTGTACAGTACACATCTTTGTCATTAAAAAAACATGTAGTCAAATCCAATACAAGCCGACCCCTTAATTAATGAACTTAGACTCTCCCAGTGTGTTAACACAGTCTGAAATTCAACCGATTTGCACAGAACTACTCAAGCATGATTCGACAAATCGGCACTGCTGGCTGTTCAAAATTCGACGGATTAGGCCGTAATCCCAACAGTCATCACTTACCAATACACAAGCTAATTTGCACACTGCATGACCAGACTTTTTTCTTGCTTGTAAACAAACCTACTGATTCTAAAAGCATGGCAGTGGTAGCATTTCACTTCGAATTACAGATTGTTTTGCATATTGACAACAATATTCTACTGAAACTGCAACAATGAGGAGTATGACAACATATCTTTGTTTGTTTAACGTCGCACTTGGCAATAGTCTAGCTCTATGTCAGTGGTCTGTTAATAATCATGTCTGGACCGACAACAGAATACTGACTGAATGAGTATGGTTTTACGCCGCTGTTAGCAATCTTCCAGCAATATCACAGCGAGGGACACCAGAAATGGGCTTCACACATTGTACCCATGTGGGGATTCGAACCCGGGCCCTCGACGTGACGAGCGAACCACTAGGCTACTCCACCGCCCGACAACAGAATAACTTAACATTATATCTCTTTGCAATGCAATGAACCAAGCAGGAAAGCTTGACCAGCAAATTTGTCACCTCATATGGCAAGCATGGGTTGCTGAATCATCAGTGGAGAACAATGACATAACCCTATCACTTGGTCTTTGTGAGGCTTTGATGACAACATGCAGCAGATTACAACCATTGTAAGACATGGATAAATACATCAACGTAAAACATTTTGACACTTGAAGATATTTTCTAAATAAATTTAAGCATGTTTGTCTCAATGTGTAGACTTTTCAAAGATGAAATAGGTAATTAACATATGTATTTTGATAAGTTCACTGTATAATACAATTCTTCACATCTCCATAGCAGGTATAGACATGGCCTCTAGTCCACTTGTGAAAATGAAGAGGGACTAGTCGTTTTCTTCAAAATCTAGTTTTGCTACATCCCAAAACAACCTGTCAACTAGTCCAATGAAAAATGTTGCCTACCCCTGCACTACCTTGCTGCACTAGTGCAGGTAGTAGGAAAACCGTATTAGGGATAGGAAAAGAATATGAAAGTAGTATCCAGGATCAAATTCACCAGCACGTATCTAATATTGACCACAAGTTTGGTCAAGCCCTGCAAGAAAGGTGACTATCTAAGTGTGCAATGCACAGTGATTTGGATGAAA